GAAGAAGAAGAAGAAGAAGAAGAAGAAGAAGAAGAAGAAGAAGAAGAAGAAGAGAAGAAGAAGAAGAAAAAGAAGAAGAAAAAGAAAAGGAAGAAGAAGAAGAAGAAGAAGAAGAAGGAGAAGAAGAACATATGTGGAGTTTCCCTTAATGCCTCATTCGAATCTGTAACTCTTTCTTTCTTTTTTTTTTTTTTACTGTTTTCTTTGGGCCAAACGTTTTGCTTTCGGAAAGATCCTTTCATGCCTATTCCAGGGCTTAGTTTATTTAGTACGAACTATCAAGAGAATAAAGAGGGAGCATTCTTTTTTATCTGGTTATTTGCTTTAACAAGCAACGTGTTTCCATGGACGACTTCTTGTACGAAAAAAAATCTTTTAAAGCCACGCATTTTCAGAGCCACGCACTTTTTTAACGATATCAGTAAAATGGGATTGCCAATTCCATTCAGCAGTTACAGTCCCCTTGACAAAACTACTCTGTACAGCCCCCGTCCAAACCCAAGCGTCTTTCTCAAGACGTTATGCGACTTCTAGATCACTTCTAAGCTAAAACCAAAAACATAAACCAAATAGAAAGGCACTGCCAAGAAAGAGGAAGGGAGAATGTGTTACAAGCAAATGTACGCAGGTGGACAAGTCTCACAACTTCAACGTTTATCCTGAATGAGCAAGAAAATGCTGCCCGCACATTTTAAAAATCGTCACCGCACATTTTAAAAATCGTCACTGTCCTTTATATATGTTTTTACACATGAAAAGCCAAATTCGTCCAATATATTTATAATCTAATTGATTCTGGTCCAAGCCCAATAAAATGGAGAGGGTACTTAAAATGAAACTGTTGGATGGCATTTGTTGGTAATCGGCAAAGTAATTATAACCATATTCATCGTCAAAAAGTGCACGGCTCTGATGGTGCGCAGCTTTAATAGTTGTTTTGTTGTTGTTGTTTTTTTTGGGGGGTGCTATTTCAAAAGTATGCGGCTGTAATGTTCTCGAGTGAAATAGTTTCATATCGAATGATCCTGCCCCCCCCCCCTGGATATCACTTTGAAACGGAAAGCAATGTGTGTGTGTGGGGGGGGGGGGGGTTGTGTGTGTGTTTGTGTGTTTGTTCCTTTTTTGTTTGTTTGTTTTCTTGGGGGGAGGGGGGGTTATCTCTCAGCGGGAGCCACGACAGCGAAACAGCGAACATAATATCTGAGCTGACCTCTAAGTTCTTCATTTAAGTCGTCTTGCTCTTTCACTGCGTGATCTATGAGGAATTTTCTGTCTTTCGATTGATAATTATGTATCTATTTGTGTGTGTTTCTCTGTCTCTCTGTATGTCTTTCTGTCTTTCTGTCCGTCCGCATGTCTCTCCCTCCCTATCCCCTTCTACATCTGTCTGCCTGTCTGTCTGTGTGCATTGTGTGTTTGTGTGTGTGTGTGTGTTTGTTTTTCTATTTGTATGAGCAATGAAACTACAAGTAACTGGTCATTTTAGAAATCTAAACTAGATTAGAGCCACATAATAATAACACTCATTGAAATAAATACCCTATAACACATCTCTTATGTTGAGGTTTTGATTGCAATTTCTCAGCTGTAAACTGAATAATATGACTTCATGCTCAAGTCCATAGCTCAAGTTGTTTACCTCAGTTGCACGGACTGCATGAGCTAACCGTTTACAGTTTCTAGCTATTGGCATGACAATTTGTTTTATTAAATAATACTTGACCCTCCCCCCCCCCCCCACCCCCTTTCCCCGTGCCCCTTGAGAAAAATGATGCTACAAAATTGTGTACTATGAAAGATTCAAGGAACTTATTGCTACCTTAGAATTACAAAGTTTTATCTGAATTTTGTATTCTGGCCGTTTTGAGTTACCACAGGGCCTATTACATGTGCAGGCCGACCGGACAGGTTTCTGGGCCGTAACGTGTAATAAGAAACGCGGCTCAAACCGTTGGCGAACATCCGGTGAATGGCCGGCCGGCCGGATGAAAAAACCCACAGCCGCTGCTTGTGAATTTGACGTCCGGCCATCCGGCCTTTGAAGTTTGCTGCGCCGGGGACAACTGAACAAATTTCCAAATTTTTAGAAAATTACGTCGTAGATAAAAACAAAATAATCTCAGATGCAGAAACGGCGTATCAAAATTGGGTTATGGCTCGCGAGTGACTCGTTTCGTTTTGTTTTTCAGGATTTTCCATTCCAGCACATTTTTATGTTTTGCGCGCCATGATGCACACACGTGTGTGAAGTTTCCCCCAGACAAGGCCTAGTGTGTAGAATATGTTGCTCGCGAGGTGCACACACGTGTGTGAAGTTTCCCCCAGACTAGGCCTAGTGTGTAGAATATGTTGCTCGCGAGGTGCACACACGTGTGTGAAGTTTCCCCCAGACAAGGCCTAGTGTGTAGAATATGTTGCTCACAAGGTGCGGCCGCCTTCAGGTCGATTGTGGAGTTCTATAATAATAAACCAAGTTTCCTCGATTTCGTCTGGCCGTACGGCTTGTCTACTGTCAAAATCCTGTCCGGTAGGCCTGTACATGTCATAGGCCCATAGGACCATGAGGTCCGAAACCAAATGTGTGTCAAGATATTCGAAGAACTGCATTTTTTTTAAAAACGTGTTTATTGTAAAACTCAAAATTTGACGTCAAATTTCTCAAAACTAGGTACTGAGCAGATAGGCCGTGGTAATTCTAAGGTAACGTAATATCAAAATTGTCCTGAGACTTTTCACTGAATTAGAACCTACTGCAATTGATTGATCCAAACTTGTTATTTCAGAGACCCGCGGGCTGTCCTCTACTCCCAGTCCAAGGCTTTCGGCAACTTCAATATCGACAACGGGACAGCTCAGATCGCGGAGAGTCATTGCAACAAACTGAGGAGGGACATTGCGGCCTTCAAGCTACTCAGTGACAAGTACCCGGGTCGGATGAAGGCGTTCAGGTACGAAGACGGCGCCTTGAATCCAATGGATTACGCAGAGAGTCTGTTCAATTTCACTCAACTGGAGTTCAACGAAATGTCCAAAACATTCGTGCAGAAAATTACTTCTGGTTACGCCAACAACGAAAAATCCAATGCACCATTTGGTTTTATGAAAAAAGACTCCACGGCTACCATGAACAAATGGAGACACTCAGCGTTGATGACCACGGTCACGGCTATTGATCGGAAGTGTGCAGATGTCTATGCGGAGCTGGGTTACAAGACGATTCATTCCGAGTCAGAACTACGCTCCAGCAGTTCTCTCACAACCGTTCTAAAATCTGGAGGAATTTTCACAGACTTATAGGATAATGATGCCTCGTGACTAAGAACGCAGTTCACACATACAAACACAAACACAAACGCACACACACACACACACACACACACACACACACACACACACACACACACACATACACACGCATACACACACACGCACACACACACACACAAATACTCACAAACGAATACATAAACACACAGACAGACAAACAAACAGACATACTTTTAAAATGTTATGAACGAGGCTATCCAATGAACAGAATTTGCAAGAAAACCCTGTACAACGCTATTAAGCAATAAGAAATTCTTCCAAAACAGATCGAAAAAAAAATTCCACCGTGCTGTTCTGTGAACCTTCTCACCCAGGCAAGGATATCATTTGAAATGTCTCATCGAATTAACGTACTTTTCTGTCAAATTGTATTCAAGTTTTCAAGGAGCATCGTTTCTAACTAGTAAATACACTGGGAAATTAGACAAGGCCCTTCACGCAGTAGTTCAGGTTTTCGTTGAACGTATTAAGATATACTTTAAAGGGTGTTCGAGAAGTAAGGTGAAAATGCCCCAGGAAAAGCAGTAATATTCACCTAACTTAAATGAAGCCCACATATTGAGTAATAACGCCATACAGCCCCTACGCTCGTATCATAGTGTTCCCCCGAATACAGATTTTTTTAAACCATCTTGCCTGACAATATATACCCATATATATGAATATATAATTCAAAGGAATTGACATTAATAAGTTTAAAATGGATTTGTTGAAATCTTTAAGTAACTTTAAAACAGTCTGTGTTGATTTGTATAATTCCACTGTTAGGGCAGTTCTTGACAAGCACGCACCACTTGTAACTCGTCGTCTGTCGACTAGACCGTATGCACCATGGTTTGGGGTTGAGGTGAAAGCGGCCAAAATCGAATGCAGGAAGGCAGAGAGACAATGGCTTAAAATAGGGCTCCCCATCCACAAGCACATTTTTAGATTAAAGAAGCAAGAGCTGAAATTTGTAATTAAATGTGCTAAAAAGAAATACTATGTTTCTAAATTGGAAAATTCAAAATCATGTAAACAATTGCTCAGCATTTGTGATGAACTATTAGGGAGGGTCAAAGAGACACGTCTCCCGAATTCTTTTAGCGATCAAGAACTACCCGAAAAGTTTGCTGATTATTTTACAGATAAAGTCCAGAAACTAAGAAACGACCTTGATGACTATGAAACACGTTGTGATTTTGATAAGTTTAAACCTGTTTCTGAAGAATACATTAAATCTGTAATTCTAAAATCCCCTAGCAAACATTGTGATCTCGACCCTGTCCCTAGTTCTCTGTTGTCTTCCTGCTTTGACGAACTGATCCCATTTATTACTAAAATCATAAATAATTCTGTAGTGTATGGATCAGTACCAGATTCGTTTAAAATCGCTCTTGTAAAGCCTTTGCTAAAGAAGTAAAACTTAGATCAGAATGTCTTAAAGAACTATAGACCTGTTTCAAATCTACTTTTTTTGTCTAAAATCCTTGAAAAGGTTGTCCTCGAGCAGCTTCGTCATCACTTACAAGAAAACAATCTGTTAGAGCCATTCCAGTCTGCCTATCGAGCTAACCACAGCACAGAAACAGCACTTCTTAAAGTCATGAATGACATGCTTACTGATTGTGATTCAGGAAAAGTTGTTTTGCTGAGCCTTTTAGATCTATCAGCAGCTTTTGATACAATTGACCATCACATTTTATTGAAGCGATTGGAAGTGTCTTTTGGATTATCCGGGACTGCCCTTAGCTGGTTTTCTTCTTACCTGTCAAATCGTTACCAATCTGTTTTTATTAAAGGGCTTAAGTCATCAGATCATGCTCTTAAGTATGGGGTCCCCCAGGGCTCAGTCCTTGGTCCAGTTTTGTTCACCATTTATACTCAACCACTTGTCAAGGAAATAGTTAAATATGACTTAAAATACCATTTCTATGCTGATGATACCCAGATTTATGGTTCAACATTGCTTACCAATTAAGATGAACTTGTCCATCGTGCTGAAAATTGTATTGCCTTAGTGAAAAACTGGATGAACACAAATAAATTGATGTTAAATGATAATAAAACAGAAGTCATTCTGGCAGGCAGTGCAAAGTCTGTATAAAGAGGTTGACCATGATCACATTAAAATTGGTGATGCAAAAATTTTATTTTCAAGAAAAGTTTAGAATCTTGGCATCTATTTTGATTCTAGTTTGTCAATGTCGGCTGAGGTAAATCATTTGATCAGCTGCATGTATTTAGAAATAAGAAAAATTAGTAAAATACGTCATCTGATCAATACCAAGTATACTGCTTTACTAGTAACTAGCTTAATTTTATCAAAACTCGATTATTGTAACTCCTTGTTATCAGGAATATCACTGGAGAAAGTTAAAAGACTTCAAACTGTCCAAAACAATGCAGCACGTTTAGGTTTACGGAAAAGAAAGCGAGACTCTGCTAAACCTCTTTTACGAACTTTGCATTGGCTTCCTGTTGAGAAAAGGATTGTGTACAAGTTGGCCACCATATGTCACAAATGTTTGAATGATAATGCACCATCATATTTATCAAATCTGTTAAGACTGTACATTCCAACTCGCAGTTTAAGATCATCAGCTGACAAAAAGAAATTTATGTTACCATCTATGAAACTTAAAACAATGGGTGAAAGGGCATTTGAATACCAAGGCCTCAAGATCTGGAATGCTTTACCAAGTACGTGGAGAGAAATCAAATCTTTTGATTCATCCAAATGTCAGCTGAAGTCGTTTCTGTTTTTAAATTAATAAGATGAATATTTGGAATAATTTTCTTTAGTCAGACCACAACGTTTCATGTTACTGTTGTATGTTGTACTGTATTGTAAAGCGCCCAGAGCCTGTGTACTTTATTCGGGGTTGAGCGCTATATAAATGTCATTTATTATTATATACCCCCTTGCGCGTAACTTTGTTAAGAAATGCATTAAGTTAATTACGGACTTGTAACATGCGATCGCTGTCTTCTATACGAGCCTGAATGTTACTTCTGTAAGCATGAACAGATGAAAGACTGAATTTTACTTTTCGGATCCAGCAGCCATCTGGGTTCTAGCCCTTCGGCCTATCGATATGGCTATGGCTAAGAATTTAAAGTATTTCCTATATCGGGGGGGGGGGGGGGGGGGCAGGTAGATTGGCGCTACGCAGGTCGCTAAGTGCAGGGCAGGTAAAGAGATGGTGTGATACTGTTTGATCCTTGCAGTCACACAAGATGTAGTTAGGTTGGGTATCCTTGCGGATCCTATTTAGATATGAATTCAGTTAGATGTGGTGTGTATGAAAGACTGAAAAAAACAAGGCCAGGACTACGAGGAGGACGCAGCATTATTTTCCAATGTGAACTCCGACCCGTTCCTAGAGCATGAGCAAGTTGTTCAGCTGTTCTTAGCGCAGAAAGCAAAATATTTTAGAAGAGAGAAAATACATCTTTCAACCTTAAAAAAATTGTACCTACGTTGTGCATTTTTCTTGCTCTCTGATCTTCGACGTTTGGAATTTGAATTTCAACAAAATATTTCTCGAGCATATGCAACCGATATCAATGATTAAGAAACTGAAAATTACATTTTTTTAAATTTTATTATTTTAACTTGGGCTTTGTATAATTACATCAGAACGGCTGGCCGACAATAATGTGTTTGATGCAACTTGATATATATATATAGAGATCTGTATATTGTAAAATCCCTTGGTGCATCTGGCGCCTCAGCAGCTTGTGCGCATTGCCTTTTTGCATATTGCAACACAAAAGGAGTGGTTACTATTTTAGTCTAGACCAGTGGTTTTCAAAGTGGGCGCTACCGCCCCCAGGGGGGCGGTGGCGACAGTTTGGGGGGCGCTGTGGCGAAATTGGGCGATTGGGGGCGGTGGTGGGTTAAGGGGGTGGTGTGAAATTTTCATGAAATGCAACATAAAAAATGGTGAAGAGAAAGAAGCCACATAAAAAATATTTAAAAATTTTAATTGATAACTTGGGCATAGTTTACAATACTACTTATTACTAAGAACTTTCTTTTCCAGCACTCAAAGCCCATAATAAATAATTATAAAGATGATTCATCCCGGCAAATCTGACAAAAATATGGCATACTTCAAAACTCTAAAGATCAATTTTCAGAAATAAAAATCAATTAAATCGATGTTTGCAGCCGACGTCGATCAAGCTGATGAAGACTTACGAGTAACTTATAATTTATCTCTGCTAATTGCAAAGGCAGGCAAACCACGTACTCTCGGTGAGGACCTCATTACCTGCGATAAGAGAGGTGGTCAGCACAGTCCTGCACCGTGCCCCGGAGCCTGTGTTGAAAATTCTTGCCATTAAGTGACAATACCGTTCAAAGACGTATGGATGGGATGTCAACAAATGTTAAGGAGTCATTGTGCAAAATGCTTTAAGGACGTGAGTTCATCCTTCAACTGGATATCGGTTCATTGAGGGTGAGGTAGATAATGCAAGAATTGTTATTTGCGAAAATAATGGAAACAGATAGCAAAGTCGAGTCCATTTTCAAAGTGGTCCAAGAATTTTTTGAGGAGAAACAGATTCCTCTGGCCAATATAGTTGCCTATGCAACAAATGGAGCACCGTCGATGACTGGTCGGTACCGTAGATTTATGAGTTTCTTGAAGAAATCAGTCCTTGGGGTACTAACTGTTCGCTGTGTCATTCACAGACAGAATTTGGTGGCAAAAACCCTGAATGAAAGTCTGCATGACACACTAGCCATTGTCATCAAGTGTGTGAACAAGATCAAAGTCATCGCTTTGAACTCGAGATTATTCCAACAGCTGTATGCTGAAATGACGAGAACCTTCAATTCTTTCTTTTGCACACTGAAGTCCGGTGGCTCTCAAAAGGAAACCGTTTAACACAATTATTGTTCTGCCTGTTTGACTCTGTGCTGGAGCTTTGTTCAAGAAACAGACAGCGATCTCTGCAATAAACTGAAAGAACACAAGAACAACATTTCGTTCCTCACAGATCTTTTCACAAAGTTTAACCAGTTCAACTTGCAGCTGCAGGGGGATGACACCAACCTGATCAAAGCAATATCCATGCTTTCGTCATTCTTGTTGAAATTGGAAATGTTTCACCGAAAGATTGGCAGAAAAGAACTTGCTCAGTTTCCTAGCTTGACAGAGACACTAAAAGAAGGGCGGGTTTCTGATGAGGAACTAGGAATATATACCAACCACCTCAGAGATTTGCATGCTGATATGATCGCGAAGACAAGGTTTACTGATATCTTTTAACTAGAAATTCCAGAC